TAAGATGGCCATTAAGTTCCTGAAAGATTAGGTCATTTACTATTACAACTTCAGAACAAGATGGTCCATCAGACGCAAACTCCTTTCCCCAGTTTTCTGTTTCAATACGGTGACTATGATCCTGACCAAATAGCATGCAGTTTATTTTGCACTGTCGAATAATATCTTGCGTTAAGCATTTCAGCTTTGTGCACAGAGACTGGTACTTCCAAAATCCACGCTTCCAAACAGGAGTAACATTATAAGAAGCCCAAAGACGAGCATCCTTAGCTATCTTCATAAGGAGCTCCTCATAGATAGTTGCGTTAGACCAAGCTAAAAATGCATCTCCAAAGAGTGTGGCTCCTAGCATGGTAAAAGCCATATGTTGAGAAACCATTTTACTGTCGACACTGGCTTTCGCCACAAAAGTTTGTATCCTCTCCAAGATAGAATCCACAGCCTTTCTACGGATCACATTTTCACTCTCAAGAATTTTTCCGCTTAATTCTGTGAATAGTGCTTCCCGTCCCTTTTGCACCTGCAAATGAGAATATCATTCAGGAAACAACAATGAATGTTGCCAAATGGAATTGGGAATAATCACACAAGAAAAGTTGTGGAGTTTTTCATTCAGTCTTTGACAAACCATCATACCTGATGAACAAATATTGATAATAAATTATGTTTGGGAGATAATAAACTTCTCATATGAATATAAACAGTATGCAGATAGTATCAATTAGCTCCCGCTTAGTTGAAGTTACTGATTCCATATGTAACATGTATAGACCAATCAATGTTCAGGAATTGGGACTACATTAGGGAAAGAAAAAAAATCGTGCTTTCTACAAGGCAGTAACATATCTAATTTTAAAATCGTTTTAGTATGTTAGGGGAGGACTGTTATTTTACAGTTAAACTGTAGGAGAACCAGCAGTTAGATCAACAAACTAATCGTTCTGTTACATCCATAAATTCGTTTATTTCTTTCTTTTCCTTCCCTTTGTCCTTTCCCAAGTGTTTCAAGTAAGACCAGCAGATAAGCTGATGATAATTGATAAGGCAGTCATTTTACTGCTTTCTTTTCCTTCCCTTTAACATTCCGTCAATAAAATGCCACGGAGTAATAGCACCTACGTGCAGAAACAGAAACACAGGCTTTTTTCTCTTCTGGCATTAATGTTTTGCAATCTACAATGCAGACACAAAACACCGGTACAACATAGTAAGCTTCTAAGCATCACAAATACAAAAGTAAAGAAAGCAGAGAAAGAGGAGCCATAAAATGAAGCTCATACCATCTCAAAAGAAGAAGCAAAGAGGCTCGACTTTCCAAAGGCCAAATGGAATGCCCTTCCAGTCAAAGGCAATTTATCAGCAGCCTTTAGTAGCATCTCTTTGATCAGAATTGGATCCTTTATTGACACTAATAGCTCAGTAGGACCCAACCACAACTTGACAACAGACCCGTATTTCTTGTGCAAACCGGATAGCACATCTGATCAACGCCAAACGAAAAGAGTAATCAGTTACATTGTTCACTCTATCATCCAAATCACAAATTCATAGTCACCAAAAAATAAATGTATTTTCTACTCCTCAACCTCTTCATGTTTGGGGGAACCTAGGAAAACTCAACAAAATCAACGAAATTTGTATCGATTCTCCTTCCTTCAACTTATATTCCAAGTGTTCAACATAAATTTCAAAATTTCAACTTATATACATAGTGCCCTACATCAATTTCAATTTTGATGAAAACCCAGAAACCTTTTTTACACATATTACTACTGTTCTACTTCAATTTCAAAACGTTTTAAAAACCCAAAAACCGTGTTTGCTTATATTCCTGGAATTCCACTTCAATTTTAAATTTTGATGAAAACCCAGAAACCTTTTTTACATATATTACTACTGTTCTACTTCAAGTTCAAAACTTTTTAGAAAACCCAAAAACTTTGTTTGCTTATATTCCTGGAATTCCACTTCAAGTTTAAATTTTGATGAAAACCCAGAAACCTTTTTTACACATATTACTACTGTTCTACTTCAGGTTCAAAACTTTTTAGAAAACCCAAAAACTTTGTTTGCTTATATTCCTGGAATTCCACTTCAATTTTAAATTTTGATGAAAACCCAGAAACCTTTTTTACACATATTACTACTGTTCTACTTCAAGTTCAAAACTTTTTAGAAAAGCCAAAAACCTTGTTTGCTTATATTCCTGGATTCCCACTTCAATTTTAAATTTTGATGAAAACACAGAAACAGGAAGAATAAGCAAAACTTTCACTTCCATTAACATCCCAGCAACCAAACGCAGAAGTTGAGCCGAACCCAACAGCAAAGCTAATCTACTATACATAACCAGAAAAATTCCAATAACAAAAAATGCATTAGAGATAGAGACCAGTAAAATTTTCGCGGGAAAGGAGCTTGTGGTGGCCGTAGAAGGAAGGGCACGGCGGGCCGGGGATGGACCTGGCCTTGACCCACAAGCAGAGCAGCTTAAAAACCCTTGCGAGCAAGAGAGCGGTGACGGCGATGAGGGAAACCCAAAGGAAGGCATTGAATTCTCTGGCGGCCAAGTCTCTGAGAAGAACTCGGCAGCAACTTTCGTCGGAATCGCAAGCTCCGGATCTCGAGAAATGGAAGAGAAGTGTGAAGAGGATGTTTGATCCGCACGAGGAAGAAGAAGAAGTGGATGTCATTTTCTCATAGCAGAGGAGAAGAAACTGGGCAAGATCAACAGAAATGGTGCGATCGTAATCGGAACAAGTATAAAGTATCAAGAAATACAGGGATGGGAAGTTGGGAGTTGGACTTTTCAAGCGTAGCAGATTGTGTGCCCTCCTGATTGGGTGTTTTTCTATCGCGTTAATATTTTATATGAATGTGATACTAACGTATCTCACTGTACTTCTCATGTATTTTTTGATAATTTATGTTCGATAAATTTTTTTAATTCATTCAATCTGACTGTTATAAATTAAAAAGTATGTGAAAAATAAAATAAAATGTGTAGATATCAAACCTCATTTTATATTAATTTTTTATAAAAATAAAAAAATATATAAAATATTACCGTAATTTAATTGTGACTGGACAAATAAGAAGAGATTGGAAGACAGACAATCTGCCTTTTAAAGTGCCGATATGTCTGACTTTTGTTTCAGTGTGCGCGTGTCGTTTTGTTTGGTTGTCTGGAAGCGAGAATAATGGTGCTGCAAGTGCCACGTTTGTGTAGGTGTATTTTTCTTTCCCTTTTTTTATTACGAGAAAATTGAGCATTTGAACCAACATGACTGACATGATTGCCTGAAGTCTCAAAAGATGAAGCAAGAAATGTCCATTGCCAAAAATTGTAGAGTTATAATCTTGGAGACAAGACTTGATTGGTTTCAACCTTCCTTATTTAGTGATTTGCTCTCTGTACTGTCTCTCAAGAGATCCGCGTTCAACATGAATTTGGCCACTCTCTAACTTTAATTTTTGTTTGACATTAGGACTGTTTGTAACTTAATTATTGTTTAACATATATTAAGTCTATGACATTAAAATTAAGAAAATGTAAATTTATAAATACATGTCAGTCAATAATTAAGCTACAGAGAGATCACACTCATTTCGAATAAAAAAATTTCATCTCGTCTTTTAATCTCACTTTATTTTTTAAAACTGTCAAAATTAAGTTATTTGACATTATTTATGTCCATACTGATAGAAATTTAACAATTGTAGAGTTATAAAATGTACCAATTTAATCTCACTTTGTGTATTGTAAAATGTACCAATTTTTGTTTTTGTAAGTACCTTTTTTTTTTATGTAAAATGTCTCCGATTTTTAATGTAAAACCTATTTTTCAATCTGAAATGTATACATTGTTTATATATATAAATAATGTACCAATTTTTTCATATAAAATGTACCACCATTTTTGTATAAAATGTACCAACTTTTAGTATGTAAAATGTACCGTATAAAAATTACCAATTTTTGTATGTAAAATATCATTAATATAAGTAATGAAAAATCATGGGTTTTATTTCAATATAATTTATCTTAATATATAAGTATAATTTATTTTAATATTTCAATTCCACACAAATCATGTATTTTATTTAAAGTCTCATTAATATAACTACAAATATCAAATTTAATTAAAAATTATAATAACCTACATAGAAATGCATTATTATATTAATTTCAGAGACTTCAATCAAAAATTGAAAACCAACAAGGTTTAATCAAAGAATGTTGATAAATAGGGACCGCATCCAAAGTCACCCTTAAGTTTATGATAGTAAAGTTAATAAAGGGTAAGTTTTAAATACGTATTAGTCAACAATTGAGCCACAGAGAGGCCACACTCATTTTGGGTAAAAAAAAAATTGATTTCGTCTTTTTACCTCACATATCTTTTAAAACTATCAAAATTAGGTCATTTGACCTCATTTATGTCGACACTACTAGAAATTTAACAATTTTAGAGTTGTAAGTCTGAAAATTTCATACCTTGTCAATAATAATAACTCATCTCTACCAGCATGATATGAAATACCGACACTGCCTTTTCATTTAACGTCTACATGTATAATTAACCAATAGGGCAAACTGACTCGATTTTTGATAGTTTCAAATGATAAAGTAAGAAATCTTGCTTCAGATGGTAAAAGGCAGTTTCAAAGGACAAATCAATAAATATACCCTTCAACTTTTGCAGTATTAGTGCAATCCCAAATTGAGTTGTTTTCAATGGACGCAACTTTAAGTGACAAAACTTTAAAATTAGAGTTAAGCAGCTTGTGTTCAAAAGAAAAAGGTCGATTACCGACCGGGCCTTACTCTAAAACGTATTATTTGACTTTGAGTTTTGAAAAGTTAAATTAAAACCTAATCAAAACTTTAAACTTAATTACCAGCCGGGGCTAATCCACTGCCCAAAAAACCCTGCCGAGCCCAGCCCATTTGGGCGCCGGCCCTTCTTAAAAAGGCCGATTTGGCAGTTGTCCTCTTTGTCGAAAAAGCTCTTTCATTTTTCCTTCCATCCCAATTTTCCCAGGAAAAAAACAGAGATAAAGGAAAAAAAGTTCAGAAGCAAAGAAGAGAGAGAAAGCACACTCACAGAGAGAGATGATGACGTACGCAGCCACAGCTTCAAGGCCGCCGTGTTCTTCACAAACCCAAGTGCCCATTGCACGGATTGTGAGGGGTACTGCCCTCAACAGCAGCAGCTGCCGCAATAGTATTACCAGTTGCCGTCGGAGAAGCAATGGCTTCTGTGTAATTAAGGCCATGAAGAGCTCGTCTCCCCCAAGACTGACCTTGTCGAGCAATTGGGATTTTCCGTCAGCTACTACTTCGGCTCCAAGGCTGCCCAGATTCGAAGAGCTCGATACCACCAACATGCTTCTCCGTCAGAGAATCATCTTTCTGGGTTCTCAGGTTTTCCCTCCCTCTCTCTCTCTCTCTCTCTCTCTCTCAGTATCTAATTTTTCGACATGGGGTTTGCTGCTACTTGTGAAATTTGCACACTTTACTGTTTTTTGAAAGTTAAAAGTTCAGAATTTTGATGGGATTACTGTGTGTTTGTATTTCTTATTTACTAGAAGACTGAACTTGTATGTAAATTTGCACTTTTTTCTGTTTGTTGAAACTTGAAAGTTAGGAGTTAGAAATTTGAGGGGATTACTGTGTGTTTGTTTGTGTTTACTAACTTATGAAGAGAAGCGTTGCCTTGTTTAACTCTCTCTTCATTTTCCGCCCGTGGGCAGGTAGATGACATGACCGCGGATTTGATCATAAGCCAACTTCTATTTCTAGATGCTGAGGACCCCAAAAAGGACATTAAATTGTTTATCAATTCGCCCGGTGGTTCTGTTACTGCTGGTATGTTTTAAATATATTCGGCATGTTTGATCCTGGCACCTCTCTTCTTTCATTGCCTTTGATTCTAATATATCCCTGGTATTGTAGATAACAAGACATACAAAAAACTACATATTGTTATTACATAAGTAGGTAAATCAATTTTCAATTGTACAATTGTAACATAACTTAAAGCATTGGCATGCAAGTTAAATAGTAAATGAGAACAGCATATCATAACGCCAGGCTTTGGTAACAAAGGACAAAGGATTGCATGCATTTACTACCTTATTTTTGCAACATAATGGATGAGGAAATTTTAAAAGGAGAGCACTGGAAGAATAAACTGTCATCAATGCAAAGCAAGTAATATATTGACTTGAGTAAGTGTGCTGCAAAACCACGAACAGTAAGCTTTGATGTAATTTCTACTTACTTGTAGCTATTGATCATTACAATTATTATCTCGGATTGGGCTGTACAATGTCTGATGGCTTGGCTGGTAGCAGCAACGTGGAAATTGCCTTCTCAGGGTAGTTGAAATTGTGTTACATTTTTCACCATCACATAACATGTTAAACTGATGATGGATCTGCCACATTATTTGTTAGCTTTAGTCAATTATGAAACCAGCTTGGTGGATTTGCAAACCTTAAAGTTATGGGCCCTCCAAGACGTTGAATATCGCTAAGAAAAAGATTATTCAGGAAGTTGTGTCAATATACTTCTTGTGTTAACTTTTCAGAATGACCCTCTCAAACAATTTGAAAGGTTAATGTAACACCTAAGATAAAGATTGTAGCTTGGGCAATTGCTCTTTGTCTGATGTGCAGAAATCATGCAGATGCTTAACTATTTGCTACTCCATTCTCCAGTTGCTTATTCTTTGTTGATCAGGCTGATTTTAGTTGGGCAATTCTACCCTCTTGTGATGCTCTGTTATATGAAAAGTAATGTTTTCCAGAGGTCTAAAAGGGTTTGGTGCTAGAGAGCGTGCTGTGTAAGAAAACTTTTCGGTGGTTTAGTTGGAGAGAAATAGAAGTATTTGAAGGTGTAATGGGGAGGAGGTGGATCATTCAATTCCATGAGTTTCTGGATTGGTCTTTTCGTTCTATTCTTTGGTTGTGGTGCTGTTATCTTGTAGTACAATGTTGGCAATTAATTTTTTGTGTTGGTTTTCTGTTTTAGATGTAAGTTAGATGTTTGCTCTTTTAGGTGATACCTTGTCCCATGTGTTGTATCTTATCTCTTTTATTTGATCAAAGCTGCTGTCCTCATAAAAAATTGAAGAGAAAAAAAATGAAAGAGAGTTGAGAAGTAGAGATAGCTATCTGTGTCATTGTTGATATTCTTTAAAGCCTATGGAATCACCAAACTTTCAGAATGCAGACACAAAGTAATTGCATTATGTTCCTTTGATTTTAGAGTTTTCTACAAGAAAAAAGTGTTTAGATTTCTTTTTCCCATCCTACTTGAAAAAATATTTTGAGTTTTTTCCCTACTAGAAAAGTGTTTCAACTGTTTCTCCTAAGTTTTCTGCCATATATGGTGCCTTTGGATATGAGCAATGTCAATGGCTTATATGAAAAAGTCATTACCAAAAAAATATTGTTTGTATAATTTTATTATAAATATATTTTGTGTGCCTTGTGAAGATAAGTTTTGACTTTTTGATCCGATTGTCCATTTCTTTTTATTGATTTTCTTTTCTTCTGCTTTGGATATGAGAGCGTAGTTAAAACAATACACCATTGATTTCTATTGACATGTAACAATAACAACTTGATAATTAAAAGTAGGGTATGAATAGACCAGCCCCTAGTGTTGTTTATTTATAAAATCTGTCAATTTCTAATTATGTATTGAATCCAAGCAATTGCATATTTCATAATCTTTTTGTCTAATTTAATTGAGGAAGCTCAAGGGTGTGTGCGCATGGCCATTGATTATGCAAAACGATTTAACCAGCACACTTTATAACTAGGATTTGCATCAAAAAAAAATTTTCTTGATTTTTTTATTTTTTAATTATTCGAGTCAGTAGTATGTAGAAGCTATGATATCTTTTATATCGTTTTAAATACTCATTTTGAGTAACCTCAAGGATATATATCATGCATACTCTTTAGTTTCTACAAAAACACTTCAATAGCACCTACCACGGATGGTGGATAGTTTGTGCAATGGAATCGATATATCCATATATTATTTTGAACTTTTAGTCCAATTCTTCCCAGTGTAAACCACTACACGACAGGTTTTGGAAATCTATAGTTGCCTGAAGTACATAGTAAAAAAGATTTATGTAGGTGAGCAAGGTGTAGCGAGCAAAAGGTTTGGTTAGGAATAGACTAAATTTTGTTTATAAAGTTATAAAATGATGATAGTAAACAAGAACTTGACATGCTAGGGAAATACAAAGAAAAACAAAGATGATTAGCTTGGGGATAGAGTGAGTCTGCTCCCCAAAGGCATATTCTATATTCTTATAAAAACCAATGTGAAGACGATTTTAGTGTAAGGGACAAAAATGATTACCTAGGGGAATTAGACAAGCAACAATGAATTAAAAAAGAAACAACAACACAAGAAACTAACAAGTGATACTAGTATGAGGAGGGAGATTCTAAGTTGATTACTGTGTGGAACAAAGAAGATATGTATGGTTTGATGTTTGGGTACATTTTGTAACATCGAACAAAATTGGAGTGAGATATATGTTTGACGTGGGGTTTTGTTTTGAGTCCACATGGTTCTTTTATCTGAAAGTCCAACAGTTTATCCGTTGTTATGCATAATGCATATTGAAATTTGAATGAGATAGAGAACGGGAAATTTTTGTGGAAAGGAAAGAGGACAGAGGGCTGAGTAGGCTAGTGTCAATGAAAAGATTGAATGAGTTTTGCTGAAAACAAATAAAATAATTGAAAAAGTTTCTATCTATTTCTGCTTTTGGAAAGCAAAGTAGCTGTTCTCCAGCTTTAGCCTCACCCCCACTCCCTTGTTATTGTGATGCGACGTGTGTTGGATTGAGTTGTTTTTTTCTTTTTAAAGTTCTCCACATTTTTCTTCTTTTATGTTCTTACCAACCTGCCCCATCTTGTAGGAATGGGAATATATGATGCAATGAAATTGTGCAAGGCAGATGTTTCAACTGTTTGCCTGGGGCTTGCTGCTTCTATGGGGGCCTTTCTCCTTGCTGCAGGTTCTAAAGGAAAGAGATTCTGCATGCCCAATGCAAGAGTGATGATCCATCAACCCCTTGGAACTGCAGGAGGAAAAGTAATTGCTTGTTATCTGCTTCTGTTGATGTCCATGTTTTTAAGTACTGTTTGTTTTCCATAATGTTTTCAATATGATTATAAATCTGGCTTTTCACGGATACCAATATCTTTATCCTTGATTCCACTGCATGTAGATGATGTTATCTAGTGTTTTTATTACGAAGTTGTAGCTGACCATTAATTGCTTCAGATGCATTTACAAACTTAGTTTCCCCAAGCCTGATAGTCTCAGGTTTGAGGCATGGTATATATTATCATATGTTGTTCGTGCGAAGTTATAGATGACCATTGTTCTTTAAGTTTGTATTAGCTCACCCCAGCCTGATAGTCTCTGGTTCGAAGTATGGTCTATATGCTAGTAAGCATCTTCTTTCAGAACATTACTTCATCAATTTGATTTTTTGTAAGAATCTACGTTCTATTTTGATTGGAAAATTTGATGTTCTTTTTAATGCACAGGAAGGTAGAACAATGCAGATATGCTCTTAGATTATGTACTTGGGAAGTTCTCATTTAGATTTATTTTACTTTTACAACGATGGCTAAACTTTTGGTATTTAACATATGATGCATGCATTACCTATATCATGGAGGACGCATACATATTGTTTGAATATGCTGTTAAGATATTGTTTTTTGTTTACAAGGCTGATACATTTATCGGCATTTCATGTGAGTTCAGGCAACGGAAATGGGTATTCGAATCAGAGAAATGGTGTACCACAAGATTAAATTGAACAAAATATTTTCAAGAATCACAGGGAAGCCTTTAGAGCAGGTCAGGCATCAGATAGGATCTCTCCATGGTAAATATTCTGTGAGGGTCTCCTTCCCCTTTTTTTAAGTTTATTTTGTTGGTGCAGATTGAAGAGGACACAGACCGTGATAATTTCATGAATCCTTGGGAAGCTAAGGATTACGGGTTGATTGATTTCGTTATCGATGATGGAAAGCCAGGCTTAGTTGCGCCCGTAGGAGATTTCACACCGCCACCCAGAACACGAGTCTGGGATCAATGGAAAGTTGAAGGGAGCAAGAAATCGAGAAAGAACTTGCCCTCAGAGCAAAGATTTTCTGACAATGGGAGAGAGGCTGAGAAGGAAAAGGAAGCACCCGCTGCTACATGAAACATTACACTAGTCTTGTGCTTTTTACCTCTGGTTTATTTTGATTATGTTGTAATGCTCACTCCTCATAGTATTGTAACGTAGGTCATTTGTCAAATAGTGAAAGTAGATTATTCAATATCTCCTCGGAGATTGACATATTTCTCAATTTTACGTGTCGGAAAGGGCACATTTAGATGTTTCACAGAATTTCTTCTCGGATTTGGATCCTCTCTTGAGCTAATGGAGAGAATCCTCTTAACGCATCATCGTGGACCGTTGGATTTTTATTCAACGGTTACAATTATTAAAACTTTAAAGGGACCCCTTTGTTTGTAGCCGTTGGACAAAAAGCCAACGGTCCTCGATGATTGGTCAGGAGGATCCTGTCCATTAGCTTAGGAGAGGATCCAAATCCTTTCTTCTCCGCCCTCTATCTTGTCGTTGGTGTATACTCCTCACTAGTGGCGTAGAGTTTTGGCAAGAGTAAAACGGCAACTTGTTAAGTGTTTGGCTATGTTCATTCGGTACTTTGCTGGCTAAAACTCTCCGGCTAGAGGAATGGGGATGCGTTTGGACCTTTTCTTGTTTGTTTATGTTCATTCGCACAAGTTTTTTCTTTAGGGACAGACCAAACTAACGATACTCCGATATCTGGCTGGCCAAATAGCGTCCCCAGTCACAAGTATAGCAACATCGGCGATAAGTGTTCTGGCGTAACACGCGAAAGGCCTAACCCAGCAAAGAAGTATCTAAACGTATCGCTTTGAGTTTACTAAACAAATTACAATTTGAGTGTATATGTCAGTTTATGATTTACAATTAAGTAGTTGTGAGGAGCTGAGCTGTGTTCAGTAACTCGCCTCCGTAACTAAACCAACTTGAAGATTGATAGCAAAACCTTTCATGCAACATCAAGATCAAGTTGCGCTTGTGATGCCATATGTGGTAACTTCAAAAGAACCTCCAAGACAAGAGGACAATGCCGTTGGAGTAAGGTCTCAAGGTCTCGTCTAATACGTACAAGCACGGTGCTTCAATTCAACTAACATGTTGATTACTTTGGAGTATAGAGTTGTTGTACAAGTTTAGGTTAAAACCTGAAACATATAATGCGAGCAGTGTGCGGTAACTAACTGGTACAATAAAATATAACACACTTTACACTAATCGCTTAACAAGCCCTTGTTTCGATACGGATACAAAAAGTTAGAGTCGGGATGAACAAGATCTTATCACACTCAATTTACCCTTCCGCACTCCTTTTGCAACTGCAGGGAAATTGTGAAATATTCGGTTTGAAACGCATGTTGCTAAAGAGGAATTCCAGAATTGCAACCCTAAACAAATGTCTCATTAAGTTTTATTTTATGGGAGTTGTGTCATTGAAACCTCATAAAGGTCATCATTGGTTCCGAAACTGAAAAAATCACGAGAACATTCATATACGAAAAAATGTAAAATGACATTTTCAAAGTGCTAATAACAACACCGTAATGTAATTTGTTTGAGTTGTGAAACTTGTCCCCCATTAAATTTGAGTCATACTCTTCATTGGGCCTTTCTCTCATGGTCTGGACCTGGCTGACCCATTTCACTGATGGAGGCCCCAAAAAAAAAGGAAAAAGTTAAAAGAAAAAGAAAAAAACAAACCGGAAGCAAAGGGCACCTTTCTTGGCGCCAACTTTTCGAAAAATATATATCCCTCTCCCCTCTCGCATTCATAACTCATAGTTAACCATATCTCTATCGATCTCTAGGGATCTTCCAGGTTCCAATTCTAATTCGTCAAACAAACCTAGAAAAACGGTGTTGTAATCGTAATGCCACCACATTTCTCTCCCTCTCTTTCTCTGGGGTTTTGTTCGTCCCCTTTATCCTCTAATATCAGTTACTGCTAGTCTACTACTACTCAGATCTTCAAAAAGACGCCACGTCAATCCTAACATTTCGTCACTCGCGATGATCGCGAAGCCGTCGTACCTCTCTCCCTCTTGTACCACCTGCGCTTCCTCCTCTGTGAATTGCAAGTTCCATTTCTCTATCTCTATCTGGTTTTCGTTTCTTTTTATTTTCCAGGTGAATTTTGGTATTCTCGACGGAGGCAGATGAGGGTTTAATTGGAACTTTGGATTTTTAAAATTTCACATAATTTGGGATGAAATTGGGGAGAGTTACGATCAGAGGGACAAGATGCTTCTCCAGCTTAAGCAAGAGTGTCTTGATATTTACTGGAAGAAGATCGTGTTTGGGTTAATATTTGAACATTAGGCTTAAGTGAAGGAAAGCCCAAGGGTGCCAAATTAAAGGAGATTTGCCCGAAGCCCAGCATCAAGCCCAAAGGCAGATTGAAGCCTTCTCAGCCAAGGTACAAGCCACATGCTTACATTGAAATAACAAGTGATGGAGACTAACCTAGGGGTGGGCACAGGCTGGGCTAGGCCTAAATTTGGAGGGACTGGACCAGACCTGCTTAAAAAGGAAATGGGATGGGTCAGGCTGGGTATTGCAAATCTAATACTGGAACCGGACCTACAGCCCATTTGAAATGGGCCGATTCAGGCCAGGTACAAAGGTCCTCTGTGTTTTTTATTTTATTTTTTTTGGAAATTACCTTAATGAAGTAAATCACATCAGTTCATCTGAAGGCTACAATTAGTTCATGAGCTGCAATGCTCTACAAAATTTTGTACATTAACAAGCACTAAAGTTTTTTACGACAACCAACTTCCCCAATAAATTAAATCTAGAGCTTAATAGTTCTCTAAAAATTATAACCAAACATAGCATTACATTAACATTTTAATATCAAATAAACTTCAAATAACCAAAAAGACAAATAATTTCATAACAAGCAAACTAAAAACAACCTAGAAAATAACAAACAATCAAAACCCAGAAACAAAACACCTAAAAAAAGAACAAAGTTTCAATTTTTCAGAGAGGAAAAAGAAAGATAATTGAAAAAGGAACCTGTATTCCCAAGTTTGGAAACCAGATTTGTAAAGAAGGAAATGGAGAGGCTCCCAATAGTTGAAGACCTCGTTGCAGTTGTGTATGATGTTTGATGTGGCGCTCATGTAGCTCAACATTCTTAGAGCCACCAGCAGAAAGAACCATCCAAACCCTTTGTCAACGACGAACGCAAACAAGTACGGTGAGATTGGTTGCTCCATCACAAACTCATCGACGACCCTGTCGTCAGTGTACCACAAAGTGTCGCCAGATATCAGCGTCGAACAAAGCGTCGCCAGAGATCGAGGCCTGATGATGATGGTAGCGGACGGAGTGAGGAAGACAAGAGTGAATCAGGAGGAGAGATCGAGGTCTGATGATGGTAGTGGCGGCGAGAGAGGAAAGGAGATTCAAGGAGGAGAGATCGAGGGAGGAGAGATCCAGAGAGGGGAGAGTTGAGTGAATTGGGTATGAGAATGGAATGGAGTCATAGGAGTCCTGGACAAGAATAAGAGAGAGAAGGTGAAATCAATGGTAGGAAATCAACAGTCTCGGCCGGGGACCCTTTTTTTTCTAATTTCTAGAACCGGCCCGCCCCGTTATTTACCTATACCCGCCTCGCCTCGTCCCATTTTGTATTTATAATTTTTGGACCCGCACTGTACATGTACCGAACCTTGATTACCCGTCCCGACCCGCGGTTCCTATACCTGTTTGCCCACCCCTAGACTAACCAACTACTAGCCAAAGAACACTTTCCAGTGGTATTATAAGTATAAAGTTGATAACTCACTACTCTCCAAGTGTTTTCGGCCTAGAGCAAAGTTACAGTAGTCAGGCTAAACTGCCTTTAAAAGGAAGAAGAGACAGCAGAGATAAAGACACTCAACCAAACAAACAAACATACAAACTTTGCTCTCAAGCTAGATTTGCATCCAAAAGCTGAAATCAACCCAGATTCAGCTCTTTTAGCAATAATTTCCTTAGGAAAGCTATTTTTTGTCTAGTATAAAAGCTCTGCTATCTCCCTTAATGGTATAGTATCGATTCCCTCATGTAAACTTGTTTACCATCCACCTATTTTTAGCATATAACCCTTGTAAATTCAAAGAGAAGTGACTACAAGAAGTTCAACCTTGCCAAACAAGGTGAAATCTTACCCGAAGCTCTTTGTTTGTTTTCTAAATTAATAGATCTATTACTTAATGCATTCTCCAGCATGTATTCAAGTCATTTCCACCTGTTTTTCTATTAGAGTTTCATTGGCATCTGGATCTGGTTAGTATAATGGATATGTTTTCATTAAGAGCAATCTAGGACCAAACAAATGACCTAAGGGGATATGGACTCCCTTCATTCGAACATACAAGACCATGAACTAAAAGTCTTTGTTATAAGGCAAGAAAAAGAACTTAATGTGACTTACCATCCACGACAATCCTTTGATAACAAGAAGTTTGAAGTAACTTGGGACGCAAGTAATCGACTTAAAACACACTTGTTCTACGTCTGCTATACTAAGATAGTAGTGGCACGCCTAGCACTTAGTTTTGACTGCGAGCCTCAAGGCCTACACCTAAGGCCCCACAAAAGCACATTTTAGAATTAACTTTGTCATCTTCTTGTAGCAAATCAATAAGCAAGAACCGAACTACACATCCAAAATACTAATCCCTTGGGGAGCTGTGCTAAGATCCGAGGAGCCTTCTCTAGAGAAATTTTTGCCTGAGCAAATCAAAATGACCAGGAAGCACAGGGCATATTTGCACCGGTACTTACCCGACGGTCAAACCCAGATCAAGGCCATTATTTCGGCTTTTGGAGAAGTCGACTCCTTTTCTCGCGAAAGAGGGACCCTCGAAGACTAATTGTCCCCTCGAACCTGTTCTGGATGAATTGGAATCATGTATGGTTTATTAGGTGTTTTTGTTTTTATAACTTGTATATTTTCTTAATCTTCTGTGCTTAGTCAACACCTACTTCTATTCTAGGTTCCCCTGTTACAGAGGAGTACACTGCATAACAACAGGAAAGTGAGGAGGACAAGCGTAAATCTCGAGTATGCTTGGACTTGCTACTTCTACTCACGCGTTCGCTAATATGCAAATGAAACACCTTTCCATCTAGACTTTCATGCTTTCTGCAGTGCAAATAACGTACAATGCCCATCTTATGATCCTTTAGTTTAATCTGTTGCGTAAAATGCTAAATGTA